ATCTTCTTTCTTTACATATATATATATATATATATATATAACTCCTTCTCTTTGGTAAAGCTGCTGGCTTTTATTCGAGTGATGTGGGCCCAATTTGCTAGCAGTTACCTTCAGGATTGCTATAATGGATTGAACGGTACTTGGTCCGTATAAGTCTATTCAGAACATAAAAGATGTGACGACAATCCCACTCTAACACGCCCATTATTACCGCCTAGTTGCATCCAATCGACTACGAAGCATGTTTCCGCGCATTCTCATCGGAATCTCCGGCTGCTACAGATATTCCATTGTGAGTTCAGAACGATTCTTCTTAATGTTTGATATTCTTAGCTCAAAAAGATCTTGGCAGGTATTCGTTGCTGATTGCTTTTCCTTGGTGCGTTTACGGAAGAAACAGTTCGCTCAACACGCCTACTTTTATTCGCCTGCATATTTGGCAGTATGTAGCTTTACCTATATCGTCCTGTTGGAACTAACTGTAAGGGAATAAACCGAAGGCAGTTCGTCACCTGCTTGGCGTATTTGCTGTGAATTCTGTGAATTGCGTTAATTGGAGCATTAATTTATTCAAAGGGCTAATAGTAAAGAACAAAAAATGTATGGCTTCCATGTACGCAGACGGGCTTTGCTTTGCTTGTCGTAACCACCATCTCAGTTGATTCGGAGAAGATGAGGCATTTGGCATGCGTTTGAACAGTGGAGGAGGCCGTGGTTGCTGGCTGCAATTTCGGTTAGGTCAGGTCATATTCGTCAATACAGCCTAAAATCTCACAAGTCTAGAACAGTCCGTGTAGGCCTGCAAGCACAGAGACAGACAAGACAGAAGTATATTGTTCAGTCGTGGTAGGCAGGGAGGCAGACATAATATCTCCACTTAATTGTTGCAGTCTCATCTCCGACGGCTTTTCTACAGCTTTGATGCTACTCTTTAGTTTTGTCTTTGTTGATTACTTGTACTTGTTGTGGCTGCGATCAGGACTGATAAAGCTAACCCAGATTATGTCCCGTAAACTGCTTCTCCACTCACGACGATCTGTGGTAACAGACCTGGACAGTTCGAGCCATTCTCTTCGCCAGCGCTGGAGACCGAAGGTCCAAGGACCACTTCCATGTCCTGACGGACCGAGTTGAGCCAGGTTTTCAGCTGAACCCCACTTCGACGTTCACAATTAGGTAACGGTTTTGGGTCGAGAGCAGTAATACTGAGCTCGTGAGATTAACGACAAAGAACGTGCCCCAGCCACCTCAGTCGTCTGTCTTGGATTGCCTGGGATATCTTTGCGATCCTGTCGCGACGAGTGCGGACAGTCTCATTTGAGACGCAGTTGGTATAGCTGCTAGATACCCGGTGCGTCCACAGGTGGCGGATAGTCAAGTGGCATTCAGTGAAGGCTAGCTGTGAAATAAGCAGACTCTTGCGTCTGGTGATTAAGCAGTCGCGGACCAGCAGTGGCAGTGCTACCAGGGTGCGGCGGGCTGAGGTCTGGCAAGCCAAAAGCCTATAGTGTCGCACTGTGAAATGACGAGCGTAAACCGCCATTAAATAAGTTCGCTTGCCACTGCTACCTTGTGGTTATGCTATTGAGTCCAAACGCTAGAGGAGACAACCTCGAACAAACAATCCGTGCGGCTGTCGGGGACTCATCCGTAATCACAGCTCCCAAGACACC